GAAAGGCAATAAATCAGTATCTGAAGAACTGTAGTCCAATCCTGGAAATTAAACTTATAATTTGAAAAGTTATTCCACCTCACTTTGGCTCAGATTCTTCATTTAAAATATTTACCGTTTAGTCAACAATAGTAACTGTGTCACAAGTGGTGCTATATATTGGGTATATACTACTAAACAAAATAGACATGGTATTTTCCTTCTTCAAGCTGCTATCAAAGAAGGAATATAGACAACAAACAAGTGAACAAAAAAAATCACTGAATTTGGAAATGGTGATGAAAAATACATGAGATAGAATGGCAGGTAAAACCATGATTGATGGATGGATAGTTAGGAAAGTTCTATGTAGGGAGAGAATTCTGAATTAAAGGAGAGAGTTCTGAATATTTTTATACATAAAATATATGAAAGGACCATCTGGATGAAAAGTGGCAGTAAGAAGTTTTCAGGGAGGGTGACTAGTGGGAAAGGAGGCCTGAGAGTGGGAAAGAGCTTGACATGTTTGAGGAATAGCAAGGTGGCTTGTGTGGCTGGGCACTGAAGGGGAAATGTTTACGATGAAGTTGGAGAAGCAAGGGAGGCCCACACATTCACAGCCCTTGAGCCATTATAGTATTTTTTGAAGGATAAAATTGAAACAACTTGCTGGTGTGTCAGATTTGGGATAAGAGGGACAAATCAAGAGTCACTCTCAGATTTCAGCTTAAGCAAATGGGTAGATGATTTGACTGGAATCGGAAAGACAGGAGGGTGACAGACTTGAGGGTGAGAGGACTCGATGGTTCATTTTTATGATGTAATGTTTGAGATGCCTGTGAAAAGTCCTAGTTGAAATGCTGGTAAACAATTGCATATGGCAGCCAGGAGCTCAGAGGAGCAATCTGAGCTGAAGGCTCACATTTAGGAGTCACCAGGTTTAAAACCACGGGACGGATGAGATCACTATGGGGGATGGCTAGAGAGAGTAACACTCTCTATGCTGGAACACCCAATGTTTCATGGAAGAGTAGAAGACTGACTTTGAAGAGAGGCCAAAAATAGACACGGAAGTGTGGATGGGAAATGTGATGTGAAGGAAGCCCAGGGAGGAGAATGGCATGAAGAGGGACTGGGTTTTGATCATTCTCGACGCTGGAGACAATGACTAAGGGAAGAAAAGGTGGACTTTGGCTATGGAAGCTTGGTGGTCGTCTGTGACAATGACAACAGAAGTCTTGGTGTAGTGGTGGGCATAGAAGCCAGATTTGATTGGCTGGAGGAGTTAATGAGAGGTGAGAAAGTGGAAAAAGCTTGTCGTGCAACTTCTAGAAAAAGCCTGTCTTTGAAGGGAGCAAAGAGTTGGTGGATCTAGGTAGAAGAGATTGTGAGGTCCAGAGAAACCTTAATGAGAGCAAGTCTGTGTATTTTAAAAATTATTCTTCCCAGAGAAGTCGGAGATGTGAAAATGGACCATGAGAGTGGAATCACGGAGTATCTGGTGTCCATGTGGAGGGACAATGGTACCTGTCTTACCTTAAAGGAGGTCACATATTTGAAAATATTCAGAATCTGAAAAGCACTCATTGCATTAAATTTGATAAAAACCAAATAAAAATTCTGTTGTACATTAACCACGTACTAGTTCCATCGTTAGGTGTTGGGGTTACAGAAAGTTTGGCAAATCACCTCGTACAGGTCAAATGGATTGCTTATCAGCCAAGCATACCCATAAGACCCCGGGAGTCAACCAAGTTGAAAAATCTGTTGGAATTTTGAACAGGAATGGAAAATGACAGCAGACTCAGTATGTCAGGATGTTACTGCCTATCTAGAAGATTCTATCTTGATAATGAAGTTAAATGCTTCTCTAGATAAGTATTTGAGAAGGAGATTTCTTGCTTATATCTGATGGCTTTAGTTTTATTCTAGAAGAATCCTAGTGACTTTCAGAAAGCCATCCACTGGGGGGATGGGAATACTCGGCTTCCTTTTTAAGAACAATCAAAAAACATACCACGTACTGCACTAGAACCCTGCATCTAGATTCTGCATTATTTGTTTTGGGGTGTCCGTTTTTCGATCTGGGAAAATACCCTTAGATAAAAGGAAAAGTAAGAAACAGGGGCGATGAAATGATCAGAAAGAGAATTTTAAAAATTGGCTCCATTTGGATCCTAAGAAATTCTTGTATTTCTTAATTTATCAGTAGTAACATTGGAGGAGTTTGTTTTTAAAGGAATATGGAAGAAAAGTTATTTTTACTACTTTCTGTATAAGTGACCTGAATGACT